AGCAGCAGTAGCAGCAGTAGCAGCAGTAGCAGCAGTAGCAGCAGTAGCAGCAGTAGCAGCAGTAGTAGCAGTAGTAGCGGTTGTAGTATGTAGTATCTAGTATCTAGTATGTAGTACGTAGTACGTAGTACGTAGTAGGTAGTAGGTAGTAGGTAGTAGGTAGTAGGTAGTAGTAGTAGTAGTAGTAGTAGTAGTAGTAGTAGCGGCAGCGGCAACGGCAACGGCAGCAGCAGCAGCAGCAGCAGCAGCAGCAGGAATAGTAGTAGTAGTAGTAGTAGCAGCAGTAGTAGCATCAGCAGCGGCAGTAGTACTAGCAGCGGCAGCAGCAGCAGCAGAAAGAACATGTTTAGCTATATCTTGAGCAAACAAATTATGTTGCCAACTCGAGAAAAAAGTTCGCCAAATGGGATTTTGACGTGTTCCAGGGTTATCGTCATCAACAATCCCTATTAGGACCTTTAGATCGACTACCACATTATATATGTATATACGGTCCTATGCCTGCCCGCCCCTGGTGCACAACAAGACTGCAAGGCAGGAATCCGTGTCCATGTGAGTCGGTGTTGTTTGGGTTTCACACGCAGGCCGTGTCTCAAAACAATGAACTTCACAGCCTTTGGCCATAAAGCAGGTGCATTCCCCTGGCCAACATAGTCCTGGCTGGAACTCCCAAGTAAATGAATCTTCAAACACCTTAGGGCCTGAGGGAACCCAGTCTCCTGTCAGTATTCATGATGTTCTTGCCCATAATTTTCTGAGAAGCACACCGGGATGCCGTCTGTTGTGATGTTATATTGGTATTCATTCCCACTCACCCATACACATACCTTCCAATGAAGATGGACCAGTCCTGCCACATCCGAATGAGACAACCAATGCGACCGAGTGCTATGCAAAGCTGACAGGTGCGGAGCGGAAACTGGTTTCACGGAAAGACTTTGCAGGACTGAACTGAACTTGACTTTGTTCGGTTCAGGGGCCGCAGGCGGCAGGCGCTGGGCAAATCAGGTGGCAAAGTAAATGTAAAGATTAGTTAGGTTGGTTGCTTGGACGATTTGGATCCCCGATCCACCTAGACCCAATCACCTTACCGCGAGACAGCAGCTTCACGATCTTCCATATTGCCAGATTGATATTGGCGTGACTGGCTGGCACATATGTACTTGTGGTTCAGAAGAGAAGGGAACCACAAAAAACAACTCCATGAATAAGTCTACCACCAATCTGGAGCGAAATCGCTCCCGCATGGATTTTCTAGCTGAACCAGCATCCTGGACCAAAAAATGTGTTCCCATATATTCCCGCGTTTTTCGCCGACCTGCCCCGTCTGCTTTGGCCCCGGTGCCATCGCTCGCGGGATCTTCTCGGATGCCCATCAACTCGGAACGACGTTGGAACGAGTCCCAACAAGTCACTGGAGTCCCACTGTGTGTGCGTGTGGGTGGGTGGGGGGGATTCGAAGTAGCACTCTAGTTTCAGAGTTTGCTCCAACAGTAGTTGGTGGAGGGAAGGTGCGTGAAGCCAGTACACATATTTTGTTCAGAAAGTAGTGGGCCACCTACATGTGCAAATTAAACGTGTTTCTTACCAGAAAGCTACCGAAACCTTTGAGACACGACAACCGGGCAAGCACAACGCCAAGAGCAAGAATGAACCCCACTAAAAGAATCCGGACCCAAACCAATGGGTTTAGGGTATTGGTTCGGATAAACCCCTGCGTTATTTCGGTGTCACAAGGATTCTTAGGGCGGGCAGTGCAAATATAGTAGTAATAATATTACTATATATTGAATAATCTATGCTCTTGATTAATAATCGTTCCCATTTGAATTGGAAATCCTCTTCATCCAGGGGGTGTTATTAGTTATTAATCAAGAGTCCACATTATTGAGTATGAATATTATGCCATCATATAATATATAGTATATGCCATCATATAATATGGAATATTGAATCAATAATATATGCCATCCCCATGGTAGAATGGATCCAGTGACCAGGCTGATTCCCTGCAACCTTCCGCGACCTTCTTCGGTCAGAGGCCATGGATCTGTTTGGCTTCGTCAAATCTGAGGAGAGCTGCTGACCGTGAAAATAGGAGGAACTTCTGAACTTCAACCCTGTTAATTGAGGATAGTCTTGCAACCAAGCACAGGACACCTCCTAAGTTGGTGCTAGTCCCAAAATCAGTGGCTCGGGAATAGCATTCAAAAGGACAAGTTAGCTCAACAACGGGAATTCTCTTGGTCTGGAGTCTGGACTCCCGCTCGAGGCTTCGACCATTAGGACGCCCTTGGCCCAATGCTTGCAGTCGTTGTCTGGCCAGCTAAACGGCTGGGTCGCCTGGTTGCAGTCTGTGCGGATAGGTGTTAAATGACTGTTAGATGTTCAAACCATAGCTATGGAGTTAGATGTGGATGGGTAACAGTATACCACCCATCAAAAACCACCCCCCACGCTTGGTACGATATGGTACACCGATAGTAACACCGAGGATGTCACCGATACCAAGGGCTCATCGACCTGGAATGTAGGTCACCAAGGGATTGGGCATGTTTGGTTTTGACCTACGGCCACATACCTACTGATCAGTAACTTGCTACTTTTCAGCGGTGGCACTTTCTCCACTTTCTCCATGAAAACGGCCGAAGATTCCTAGAGGCGTGACAAGGTCTCGCTCCGCCACATAGGTCACGATGTCACAAGTGAATCCGATGCACGCAAAACCCACAACATGGACAAAGATATGAAAAAATGTTTCAGCTGCCTGGGCAGAATATGGCACAATGACCCCAAGAGAATCTGGGAAAGCCATGCTTCGAATAGAATGGAAAAAACACGCTTCGGAAAGAGACGTCCGGCAGCTTCGAATGATGTCCGGCAGCTCCGATCGACGATCTCTCCGGCCGCTTGCCTTCGGGTGAACTACTCACATCGACAGCCCCCCAATTCCACAAGCCAACACCCGCGGTGCCATCGGCTTCTCCCCCTGGACCTTGCAGTAATCTCTCAAGACCATGGGATCCATATTGATCTTGTACCTCGGAAAAAGAGCGTCCGGCCAAAGTCTCCACTTGAAGCCGAGGCCTGGATCTGAGTGGCTCGCAGCTGAACCAGCTCATGAACTATTCTCATCTTCAGTGTGCCAGTGGCACTGATCTCCATGATAGTCTCATGATATCACATATACTAATACTTTATTTTAAATATGTTCCATAGATTCCAGAGTTGCTAAGCCCTGAGCAACTTCTATGTCTTCTGTGGGTTTCAGGGTGGGATGGCTTCATGTTCCTTGTCTCAGATTTGGGAGATGTGTTTGCCTTTCAGTACGAGCAGACTCTGGCCGACCACGACGGCACTCTGGGCACGCCCCAGGTACGCCGATATATGTCTGTAAATTCAAGCCACATGTCTGCGCATATCTGCGCTCATTTGATTTCATCCTCCCCTGAAAATTTCTTCAAACCATGCAGGGCCATGCAGGGCCCGTGCCGAAATGCCTGCTATTTCGAGGCCAAGAGGCGTCTTGGAGAAGATGGTACCCTCCGGTACATCGGGATACATATCGAAGGTGTCCCAAAGGATGCCCCTGACACGTCCGCGGCAACGGCAAAACTCGGGGCAGTCGCTTTGTCTCGGCCCAGCAAGACAAAGTCACCGGTGAAGGCTTTTCGTGGTTGAAGAGCTTGACTCATCCACCTACCCTATAACTATAACTATATATATAGGATTCTGCCAGGATGTTAAACACCTTCACGATTTCTAGTATATACAGCTTGCAAAAAGCTGTCTGAATCACGTTGCCGGCTGCCTTGAGCTGAAGTCCAGCGTCAAATAGGGATCCGTTCCGCATCTTCTGCTGCCCTGACATTCGCACAGAAGGCAAACGAGAGATTCGCAAAACATAGATGTTGCATAGGAAGCGTCCGAAAGGTAGAAACCTGAAAAGAGCTCAGGCTACCTCATAGCATGTCCATCGCCACAATGAGCTTCGGGCTGCCTGTGCCTTGGAGACCCTGCAGAAATTGGATATAAAATTCCTGGCCGAATCCTATAGTGCTCCCTGACCACCAAACCCATATCCAGCAGGCAAACATGTCGTTCTGTTTCTTTTCTGTGTCCAGGACGTCAGCTTTGCTTCTCGAAGAGAGAGGCTGATAGATGGAAGCGGTCATGTATTGGTGTGTTGTTTGCCTTAGAGGACCTATGCCTATTCACATCAAATCGCTCTCCAACAAACAAACGCCATCCTTTCATCAATCTGGCGTCTCATCGGTCTCAAATCTACAGCAGCTTGTTCCTGGTCAGACTCATAAGTACTCCCCAGAAGACTTGATTCCAGAGGCATTGCATGAGCTCAACTTGAGGACATTTGTTGATTTTATATAGAGCCGACCATCAACCTATATATATATATACTTGGAATGCATATTTACCTACTTCCTCGCACAACACGTCTTCCGGCATTGAACAAACAAGCGAGGAGTTACAGTACTCAAAACGGCGTTCAATAACAAAATCAAGAATAGTATCAGTACCCTGTGGTAAACCCTTGATGTTCACTATTCACATTCCTTGTGCTGATATAGTTATCAATTATATTATATATATATATACGTATACATATTACATTTATGAGACCCATGGTATTTGTCCATTCTGCCCTTCGGGTACACACCGGACACATCCGGGAACCTGTACTGGGCAAGATCCTTGCGAGAGTATAGCCACAAGTGTTTGAAGGTTTTCTGACAGCTTGCTTTGAATCTCTGGCTACTTGTACCCGTTTCGTTGGAGGACGACCTCACAGAGCAATGGGATTGCTGCGCCCGGCAGCAGGGGCGCGAATTGGTGGGCGCGGCGAACGGCACCTTGTGGCCTGAACTGCGGGCATCGCGCTCTCCGGATGTGGGGATCGGACTCCGCTCTATACGAGTCTTGGACAGCTCCAATCATGGAGCGCGCAAGAGGAGCCCTTGACCCGTCTTTGGGACAAGCCTTCGCTTTCCCCTTCCTGTTGCAACTGCGAATGCGCATTGAAGTCCCCGGGTGGAGAGATCTGGCAACAGCCAGAAATCCCACAGCTGATCAGCCAGCAGAAGAAGACTCTGCCTCAGATGACACCGGGTCAGCAGAGCGGCTGTGCGCGCGGGCGATCCTTGGGGTGGCAAAACTTGCAGCTTCAAAAACATGGCAGGGCTCCTTGGGGAGTTCAGGGTCGAGGGCAAATGAGACGGCATCTTGCAAGCTTCGATCTGTTTTGCAAAAAAAAAGCATGTGAAGCATGGGAATTCAGTCCTCTGTTCAGATAGCAGCCCGGCTGCAGCCCTATTCCTGTTTCACCAGACCTAAGTTAAAGCTTACAAGCTAGAAACAAAGCGTCAACAACTGGGAATATTTTAAATTTATATCTCCTAACAGGAGAAACAAAACAGCTAAGAGTTTCAACACCATGTGCATCCATGAGCCCTTTTATGATGATCTTCAGAGACAATGGTGTGTGCATTGGCGTTCCGAATGATGCATGGGCTGAGATGTTATGTTTCTATGATATTGTGGTGGTTTATATAAGTCCTCCAAAGGTTTCACAATCTTTCAAATATATCATGTAGTTTCATCTGCAATGTCTTTTTCACTTTGTGTTCCAGTGTTTCACCATGTTCCACCCTTTCCAAAGATTTGTTTGCATCGAATTCATGGGCCACTGCCCACAAAAGACAGACTCAAAGCCCGTTCTCACAGATCATCTGGCTCTTGAGGAGGCACGGTGCTGGCAAACACCGGAGCCCAGGTCTGCAGCAACAAGAGCTGAAGAGGTGATGTGCCCATTCTGAGACTCTGCATGTGTACTATAGTCTAGTGACTATATAGTGGTTCTTGCTCTAGTCTAGAAGTTCAGTATCAACCAAAAACTAGCCTTTAGCATGTCCTTCGGAGTTTAATCACTTGGTCCATTCCTTGATTCTGGGCACAGAGCTTTTTTGCATGGTGATCTGGGAATGGAGAGCTGTAAAATCCGTTTCTATGCTGCATCTTTTTGGCCACGAGCAACCCTGTAGCAGGTCGCGGGAAAGAGAATAACAACGCTCTGTGACCCAACGCTCTGTTTTCGTGTTCTCACATGGTGCCTTCTTGGTCACGTTGAGGTGGCTCCGTGAAAACGAGTAGCCAAAGTAAAAGGCCTCAGAGACCCGGTTGAAAGAGATCAGCCTTCCGAGAGGAGCATCCACAGGTGGACACCTAGGACCTGGACATGTGGTTTACAGCCTGGAAGAATCCTGGTTTCGATGGAATGACCCTGAAATCCCAAGACCGAATACAAAACAGCTGAGAACCTCACTCAAGGAAAACAGCTACTTCGCACAGGGCACGAGGACCACAACTTCCGCCACCCACGCGTGGTTTTTGACCACCACAAAACCAAGTAAAACATAAGTAACACATCCTATCTCTGCCATAGTAACATGCATATTGTGCACAAGACGTGCATGTCTAAATCCTTCATGTACGATTACTCTCTTCCCAAAAGCAGTACCACATCTTCTCACAAGTCTGAGGGGCGCCAGCGACGGTCTGCAGGAAAAGAGCCTCCATCAATGTCAGGAAACTCATCTGTGAGATCAGCAACACCTGAGCTCCGCCACCCTCCATCGTACGCCCGTCGGCGAAATTGAGTCTGCCCATACAAACAGACTAAATGGGACAATCGAAGAATGCGGTCATGCTCTGTTGGTTGAGTTTTAATGTTCCCGCAAATGTCTCTCAAAAAAACTCGCATCTGTTTGCCAAATGTCAGCAAAGAAATCTGCCAGGTACCCCGATGAACCATCAACTCACCCGACTGATACAAATTATCATCCGTAACATGAAAAGAGCGCAACGGACTTAATCTTCACTTTTCTTGTTGAACTTCTTACATTAAATCATCTTATTCTCTGCCGTCCAGCTGCACCCAAGGGCACAATGATGGGCACGAATGAAAGAGCATGCAAGAAAAAATCACTGGTTCCTGGTGATTTCAGCACATCATTATGCTGGACTTTGGGGGTTGGAAGCACTTGTTGATACTTGTTGTGTGCACCACAGGGGACCTGACCTGACTACTAATCTGACTCTATCAATCCCAAAGTGCGAATTGAGCGAGTTGAGATCTGCGAATCGGTCTCCTGTCGGACATGGCCACGGCACATTCATCATAATGCCGATCCTTGGTGAATTCCGAGCCGAGGATGTCGGAGGTATCCATCCGATACCGTTCGACAACATCCAGGCACTTGGAATGATCATGAACAATCGGATCTCTTTCCTTGGAGAATTGAAGAGATGCCGTATCCTAAATGGATTTCTGGGGCCCTGCAGGAGACATGTCCCATCAACACGACGAATGCAGCTTCGAAGCACCCGGAAACCCGAAAACGAGCCATCACGAGCCTTATTCACCCAAACTGTTCAGAACTCAATCGTCTTCTGCAAACACTCCTTCCATCCACTCCATTCACTCCATCCGCAGTTTTCCGCTCCATCCTTCCCAAGCATCAATGGCGGAACCGGCATGAACGGCAGCTTGAATCCATGTGCGCGCTTGGTCTGTTCAGCCCAGGTCTTAGTAAAGTCGAGTCTGTCGCTGTGGAACAGGCGAAAGCGTCCAGTCTGTGTCTGGTCGTGGTTTGTCTCGCTGTTTCTGGAAGATGCATCACCAGTGGGGATGCCTCACCTGTGGCTCAAGGTGTAGCAGGACTATGGTAGATTTCGCTGTCGCAATTGCCAGGAAACGTCTTTATGAGGGTTTTGTTCCATCAGGTGAGAACCATATGGATATGCTTCAAAAGTTATTAAAATAGGGAGGCACCCAAAGACCCCTGGGAAGGAGGAAAAATAGACAGGAACCCATTCGTTGGAGACCTCCAAATGAAAATTCACACCCACAAAAGCAAATCTACTCAGTATGCTTAGATTTGTTTAGTATAAATAGATGTCTACGTCACACAAGAGCTCGCTACGCTCCGTGAACACTCCAACCTGCTCCAGGCCTGGGAGCCATTCCGCCTTCCGTTCACCACATCGCACAAGCATGAAAAGAGCAACACCAATGAGGAAAATTGTACTTGTTGGTAGAGGATTTCATGGTCCATGTATGTCCATGTTGTTATTTTTGGGAGGGGGGCGGCAGGAGGGGGCATGCCATCCACGTAAGCAATTTCTTTTGAGAGAGTGTAGGTGTCCTGACGTTGAGACACATGTCCTCCCGACATGTCCTGAACAGCTGACGCGTGCAAGGGGCATAGGTGTCTTCTCGGCTCTGAAGAAAGGGAAGGCAAACAAAGAACACTGAGATCGCCGCAGAAAGAATGACGACTGCCTCAGGACTCAGAATGACGTTCCGCACTGTGCTTTCTCAACAAAGTGCGTTCTTGTTTCTTTTGTTGTCCGCTGTCACTTGGTTAATGCCCTACAGCATCGATGTCTCTTCAAAACAAAAGTTGTTTAAGCCATGCCTGCAGGGACCCCCCTGCTTCCAGGAAATATCCTTTGTGTACCAAATGACACTGCCTCACCTGCAATGCAATACTCAATGATGCTCCGGTTTCCTTGCCCTATGTGCGTTTTGGAGCGAGCACGACACGGGCCCATCGGCCAGGTACGAAGGACCGTCGCCCATCTTCCCGTCGCACCAGGACGGAATCATGGACAGCATACGAAGGAAGTGCAAGCTCTTGACACAGCTTGACTGGCTTCAGGGCAGTCAGTTCCTCAACTCTCACAAATGCTATAACAGGTCGCAAGGGCCACTAGGACACCACACCAAACCGCAAGTGTTTTTCAGGAACCAAACGACCCAAACCTACCCCAGGTTGACAGGAGCCACCAACCGCTCGGTGAAAAACCCATTATACTTAAAAATGGTACCCCCCAAGAGTAACAAGTTTCACTCCAATTTGAAATGAACAATCTTTGGGGAGGTGGGGTGACAAGAAGCATTTGGGAGTGAGAATAGTTGCTCCAGAACGGTGTGTGTTGCTGCGCAACGTCTCTTCAATGCAAAGCAAATATTATTGAACGCGAGGTGAACGCACTCTGCTTTTCCCACTCCGGAGTGCTTTTGTAATACCACGTTCAAAAAGGTTGATAGATTCAAAATGGCGTGATAATTAAACGTTCTTCAGGTACCAGGCAGAATACTACATGTTAAGCATATATATATATAGTTATATATAATTGGGTGAAAACGGCAATATTGTATATGGGAAACCTACCTCCCCAAATAGGCCGTATGAACTTCGCGCAGTGAGGTCGCCATCGATCCACGCAGCAGCCAAACCTGGGTGGCCGCAACATGGCGTGGGGCCGTGTGGCCGGGGAGAACGGTGAGAGTGGGTGGGGGTCGGTGGCATGGTTTGAAGTCATAAAAGCATGTACAGTACCAAAACATACCAAATGACAAAACATGAATTAACATACCAAATGAACATACCAAAGCATGTTTTGAAGTCATATGTACAGTACAAGTTCAAAAAACTAACATACCAAATGACATGAATCTGAACATAGAAACAACCTGAGCCCCAGAAGTTTGGATTTACCCCTTCCTAGCTAAGCCCATGGTCTAACTGCTTAGAGCATCTACAGTATATTCATAGGATTGCAAGTCCAGTGTTTATATTTGCACTGGAAATTCTTGTCCAAAAGCTTGCCTTTTAAGATGGAAACCAACTTTTTGCACAACGGCAAGCAGCTTTGACGTGAACACATTGAATAAACCCCTCCAGGCCCGGAGATGACAATTCGACCAGTATGGGGGTGGGTGATAGTTATGTGATACAAAAAAACAATTCTGTCAGGTTGGCATTGCCCCCAACCAGCGACGTCCCTCACCACCGCTGCAAACAGCTTCCGATGTCCCGAGCAGGCAACTGCCAACGTACTGCTGGATGGAATTCGGAAGAGGATGCCCAGAACGAAGATGGAGATGCTGAACGTCACCAGGCCTGCAATTCTTTCGGAAGGGAAAGCAACCAAACACACATCTTTCGTTTCCACACATCTTGCGTTTCACTTCTGTCACAGCTTTTGTGGCGCCAATGTCACAACAGCCGCCCGCTGTTCGCCTCGTTTCTCACCCGGCCCGGCCCCCACTTCCCGGCCTTCACTCGACACAGAATGGACACGTCGACCCAATAGGGGCGTAAGATTCAAAACCCAGACGCTACTAATGGGACTGGTACACTCCGACGAGCACATCACATGGAAGTGGATGGGCACCTCCTGTTTGTAAAGGAAAGTAGTCTTCCAAGGGGTCATGCCATCCACTTCCATGGCAGTGAGTCGGAAAGTCATTATACAATATCATATATGTCTACATTGACCCCTGAAATCAACCACCCCTGGCCGTTTCTCGGCAGTCCGTCATGGCAGTCCCAGACAGGTCGTGTTTCGGGACGGATCCGTGGCGACATCGTGCGGCGTCGGCGACGTTGCAGCGGGTGTGGCAGCTTTTGGGTCGCAAGTGGAATACGTCCCAGACGCTACACATAGATACATTACGTGTATGTGAATCTATGAGCCCATATGTGGTGTGCTTCTATTGATGTTCTTCAGCATCACACCCGCATTCCAGCTGAATACCACCCCCCCAAAAAAAGGGCACATTTTAGATGCTTAGAATGTGTCAGACAATCATCTGGCCTTGCCTAGACTTTTTTGGTCATAGCCACATTGGGGGTTGTCAATGTCTGTCAAGAAGACACACCCACTTTGGCAGGCAGATAGACTTGTCTTGGGCCCACCAAGCCACAAGGAAGTGACATTCCTTCGTGGCAGGCCAGTCCCAGCAAACAGAGAATGAGCCAAGAATATCGTCATGTAAGAGAATAGCCAACCATATAGTCATGTATCCCAATTTTGCTGTGCCTTGTTCCTGATGGTGTGCCGTTCGTTGGAACTTACACGACTCGCTCTCACTCCCCTCGCCCGCTTTGCCTACGATGACCTCGGTGCGGCAGTGCGGACCACTCAGTCCGCCGAGTCCGCCGGCGGGCGGATGCGTTCGTCGCCAAGGGATTGGATTGGATGCAGGAAAGAACTCTGAAAGACCTGGAGAAGAGATATCCAAGAGAAACACCTTCATTGTTTGTTTGAGCCCTGCCAGAAGCCCAACTTTATCAAGTCAACTGCATAGAACTGAAGGATCATACAAAAAGGCTCAACCGCAGGGGCTGTCATTTCTACACAGAAAAGGACCCTGAATCCAACTCCAAACATAGCGCATAAGCCTTGGAACTGGACGCTCGATGCTCTACTGTATGTGAGCTGCTGGAGCTGTGAAGTTGCTTGGGTTGTCAGGAGGGACTCATTTCTTGGAGATGAAACAGGTGTGGAAGCACATGAGCTGATGTTGCGGCCCCCAAAAGAACGGCAGATTCATCGCAACAGCTGGGTAATCAATCCATTCTTCCATCTCATCCGAGCTCGCTCATCCCATCTCCAATTCTGAGATTTTTCTCACCTCAACCACTCTCCCTTACTGCCCCACCGCGTCAATCCAGATTGTTTTGGCCAAGTCGACGCGGCGAGGACTTCGGGTGGCAGGCATGCTCGGTCGCACGGGCTCCTGAAGGAGTGGCAAAGCTAGGAAGACTGACTGAGCGGGGTGGATCTCATCTCCATATATCCACCAATTTCGGAGTTCATTGGAGCTCCGCAGTAGGAGGATTTCTAGGAGGCAGCCTCCAAAACTGTTAGAGTTGAGGATACCAGGATACAGCTAAATTTGACAGGTTCCCACCTAGAACATCTTGGAAGATGAGCATGGAGCTTCTGTTCAAAGGCTCCACAACTAATTACAACACACCATCTCCATCAAAGTTTCTGGCAGCGTACAAGAAGAATTTATCGTTTAGGAGTCCCCTGTGTCTGCACTGCGTCGTGCTGTCCCTCGTTGCTTTCCGTCGTCTCGTCCTCATCGTTGCTGCTGTGAGAGGCCGCTGCGCCGGCAGAATTGCCACCTGATCAGGGGATTTAGGGCCTAGCGTGTTCGGCAGGGAAACTAAACCAAGCAAACAGGCCACTTTAGGCCCCAGCACAACTGGGTCCGTCTCAACATGCAAAGAATCTGGAATCCACAAGTGCATGTTGTTTTGTTGCGCTTCAAAAAATTGCTTTTGGAGGCCGACTTGTTCGAAGACCTACCCAATGCTGCCCGCATATTCTGCATAGAAAAGGTGAAGCTAAAACAACCCACGCAGTGCTCCGTGCAAACCTTATTTGGCCAAGCACACGGCTGAAATCCAAGGAGCCCAAAACCATGTAGACCGCTTGTTTGAAGGGAAAAGTAACCATCCACTGACTATACCTATTCCATCCTATTCCACCAATTTATCTAGGATCGAGTTAGCCGCTGCTCTTCTCATGATGCAAATTTGCGGAATTCACACACTGCCAACTAGAGCCTCACAAACTCGCATGCACACTCTCCGCTCCAGACTCACATGGATCGATATGGGTGCCTGACCTCTTCTGCAAAGCACTTCGGGTTCCATCTAGGTTTCTTGCGTCAATAGATACAATATAATACAATATATATTGTTTGCAATGTTTTGAACAAGATTGCTAATCGCAACATCATTATATCATATTGTATATCTTTGACACAACTTTGACGATACTTTTCAGCACACTCAAACCAACACAAGAATCAATAGTGAGACAAAACAAGGGTGTCGCACGCCAGTATTGGTGTCAAACGACCCAATACCATGGAGTACAACTCAAAACGTAACGTCGCACCTTCATTCACAGCTCCCGATGTTCTTTTATCCGCCCGTAACATGACCGGGCCTGTGGCGTGGAGAGCACGTGGGCAGCGCAGGAGGATCAAAGAGGCACACACCAACGAAAAAATGCCTCGGTCCAACGAGACCAAATGGGGGTCACATCCGAAGGCCATGTTTTCACCAAGGGCATCACTGTTAATAGGACCAGTTCAGAAAGTTTTTTACAAACTAAAAGGCCCAACCGGTCCTGGGTTGACTTATATAAAAAGTCAAACCCCCAGGCCCCCACGGCCCCACTGGTCAATGGGCTTAGATCGTTTCCTCGAAATCCTAGGGTCTTCAGGAAACTCGGAAAGGAAACGACAACGGGGTTCCAGCCGCATCCCAGATGCTGAAGAAACCTGTCAGTGTTTGTAAATTTAAGGTTTTATTCCGACATGACCGGACTGTTGCACTGTTGCACAGTATCTTCATGCACATCTTCACATGCATGTGTCAAAATGGTTGCCCAAAAACACTTGCGCGAAAAACCAAAGGTTCGTCACTTGATCCAAACCCCACACCCAGCTATGGGAGGCCATGGTAACCTGGTAGGCGACCACCCAAGTCCTCCTTTCTCCAGGTGGCACAGCGCCCCCACGGAGACAACATCCGCAATCTTGTGGAAGTCAAAGACCAAGGCGAAGAAGAGTGCCGGGACGGACAACACCTGGGAGGCCCCCGTGATGTTGGAGAAGATGAAGTGCCGAAGCCACGGTCAGTGCTACGACGGGGTTTGTGGGGAGAGCGGTACAACGAAGAGAATAACCTTCCATGGTGGGACCGAATCTTAGTTTGCTAAACAGATTCCAACTTGTAATTTGTATTTGTGACATATATATGTTCATGATTCATAATATACATTGTCGTGTATTTTTGTATGTCTATGTATAGCTGCTACCCCAAAAATCAAGTCGACGTCTTGAGATCTTTGAAACAAATCGTTCTCCTACATGTCAGAGAGGGTCGAGATAATGTTACGTGCGACATTTTGTCTTAGCAAAAGTGTTGCTAACACAAGCGGGTGTCATGGGATTGCCATTCCACCCCCAAAGGGAACCATGCATCAAACAAAACAAATCAACCTTGGAGTGCCCGATGAATGTTGTAGGACCTCTTCTTTCTCACGTTCAGTCACACTCAGGGATTCATGTTATAGTATGGTCCGGTTGAATGAGCATGTGTGTTCGGCTTGGACCTGTGGAGAGCGGACTTCTTATTCTTCAGATCTGTTCCTCAAAACTGGTTTGTGGATGTTTGTGGCAGTGTCTCGATAATGTTCTACAAAATGCAACTCCCACGATGACCGTGCTGATTTTCACAGGGGATACAGTCTTTAATCTGTAACACATTGCAACCTGAGAAGCTGCAGAAGCCAGCGTTTTTCGTCAACGAGCACGTGAAGAGAGATAGTAAAAGTGCAGCTGTAGCTACCCTGGGTCCGCTACAAGGCAGTTGCCTGGTATAGCACTTCAATGTCAATTTCCCTTTCCGTCAACCGCTACCGTGATAAACGTGCAGCAATCCACGTACCCAGGGTAGCTACAATTCAGTTACCAGGTATAGCACTTCAAGGTCCCTTTCCGTCAACCACTCGACAACCTTTAGACACGTGCAGCAATCCACAGCTTTGAAGTCTCATTCGTGCTTTGGACTCATATGTGTGTAAGTGGTTATGCATTCACAGCTGCACGAAGCTGCAACACATCGGCCTTGGTAAAACTACACCTTACCATGCAGATGATGCAAATGAAGAAAATTGCATGTCTTACATCACCAGCCGCTCAAAAATCACAAAAAATCACCTCCAACACAACCTCCAAAACCTTGCTTCCGTGTACCCCTAAACACCACCTAATTTCGAGTTTACGTGGTGCTTTCTCGGGCCACCCGCCCCAGACCCCCTACTTACACACTTCGTTCGCCAAACAAAACTCAGCTGGCGCCTTCTACGAAGGCTGAAGGTCGTTCTACAAAATGACAGTTTTTCATGATAATGTGTCATACATTGCAATTCTCTTCCGAGCTCTGCTTCTACAAAATGACAAAACGTTGCCCCCAAATTATCCCAAATTATGTTTCTCTAACATGCACTAAATGTTTCAGGCTCTACAGAAGGTATCTCTAAATGACTCGCCATGTCACAACCAAGAATAAAAGGCCCCACAAAATCCACTAGTCACTAATCACTAATCAAATGACCTCCGCTGCATCTTAGACATGTTTTGGCTACAGCATGACCTATCCGAAAAAAGCGGTTTCTTATCGAAACTTCGAAACCCACCTCCATAATGATCCCATCATCACTGATTTTGTAGAGAAATTTGGCACCCCCAGCCACTCCCAGTGGAGGCTTCACATCCATCAGCACTCTCGCAGCACTCTGCGTGCTCTCTCATATTTGTGCTCTCATTGTTTTTGCCTGCATATGTGTGCTCTCTTGTGTATGCTCTCATATCTGTGCTGTCATCCTGTGCTCTCACACATGTGTTCCCATGTGTTTGCTCACATATGTGCTCACATATGTGCTCTCATATGTGTGCTCTATAACGCCGAAGTTAGCTTATTCACACATATGTATATATACTCATATATATATATACACACTTACAACTAATACAAGTATAGAACTAACTATATAATTATACATGGAGAGAGAGATGGGGTTGCCAAAAGCACAGAAACAGTAAAATTCGTCTATAGCTGATTGAAGACCAAATGCATAAACTCACATGTTAAGAAACACCACGTGAGAAACCCTGGGCGGTTCCCGAACCGGTCCCCCTCTCGCCACGGCACCAGCAGCGAGCGCGCCGGCGCGCCGAAGCGGTTCACGCGAACGAGGTTGGAGGGTAGGAGACCGTCCTGCCGGGTTGGGATCCGCTGCTGGGGTGGGATCTGCATCGCTGCATAACGCAGGACGTCTAGGATTGGATCCAAGACACGGGCAAAACCAAAACGAAGAAAATGACAGTGATTGGAACTGGTGGGGAGAATCCTGGCAGCACAAAGACTATAATTACCCCCGCAGGGATATTCCTACGTGCATCCCTTTCAGGACATTCTTGGTTGCTACGGTGACTGAGGATACCTATCTTGATACCTAAGCAAACCCTGACCCTGCACCGTGGAGACCTATGAGCGAGGGCCGGACGCCACTCGCAGAGCCGACCTCTGATGGTTGGGATGGACTCCGGTCGTCCCCAGCAAAGAACCTCTCTTTGCACCGCAACCTTTAAAGGCCAATCGGCAATTGGATCAAGATTGGACAAGACTTGTCATCCCATCTGCTCAGAAACAACGAAGTAACTAAGTCACTCAATTTGAAAAACTGGAAGAGAAAGACCATCTCAACACCTTTAAAGGAGTTCATCTCTGGGGCAACCGCCAGTGATACTCTATTCAATTCAGAGACTTCGATGTGTTTCATGACGGATGGCCGCCGTGGACGTGGCGGGGCTGCTCCACCCGGTCAGACCGTTGTCATCGACCCGCCACGAATGTCCCGTCGCCGCGTGTTTGGGGCCTAGCTGAGGTGAATCGATTGCGCAGTTGATCGACCAGCAATTGGTGGTGGATTTCGCTCTGAGCGAAACGTTCACTAATAGCCCATGACGATTCCACGAGTTTGTCCTGGACCTTCCACGATGTTAGCAGAATAGGTGTTTGCAAAACTCTTTCTGTGCACTACCCTTCCGTTTGCCACTGAGCCTCAGTTCAGCACAAGAATTTGCTGAAAAGGCTAAAAGAGTCCTCCCCATGCCTTTTGCTTCATTCGCACGTCTCGGCATATCCGCACGCTGGCACATTGGCCAGAAACTGAGACAACTGCCACTCGCAACGAAACCGATCATACTATCCAACAAACATAAAAGCAGAACATGGAGCCAATGGAACCGACACACAAAGCTGAGCTAAGCCACACAGGCTAACGCAGGCTGCTCAACACCTGAACCTCAACTTCTTGCAACAGACCCTGCCACTTTTTATTCCAAAGGTTTGTCTAATTGTGTCTCTCACCAAATCTACAAGTTTGGATGAGTTCATCCTTGGTATATATAATTATATTATACTGTCGACTGTTCTAAGTTCAAAAGCACTAGTGGTTCTCTGTTGATTTCGGGAGCCGGTCGATCTATGTTTTGTGTTGGGGCGATGGCAAATGATCTCAAGACTCCCTGTTGACTGTCCTGGCCCCAGTTCCTAAGCGTTCCTATGCAGCAAAGCCCTTGTGGCTTTGGGTCAGCGTTGCTGCTGCTGCTGTTGTTGCTGCTGCTGCTGCGACTGTTGCTGGCGGCGTAGAGGAAGGACTGGAGGACTGGAGGATCTCTTCGGCCACATGTTGACAGAAGATAGCATTGCCTGGTCGGTGTTTGGTGTCTGCCAAATCCGAGACCCCGAATACTTGCAAAAACAGGTAGGTGTTCCAACCCCTCCAGGTGATGGTACTTTTGGGATTCTCAAAGAGATGTGGAGAAAATCTCTGGGCCATTGTTACTATGGGCCGCCTGGGTTGACCCAACCATTCTCCCGGAAAAAAGTGAGCAAACAAATAATGGCCATTGAAATATATATATATATACATATACATACTAATATTATATAGTTACATCAAATTCATTGTTACATTTATTATTATGTAGATGAAATATAGAGGTGTGAGAAAAGCAGGAAAAAAGGCGACATGATCGAAATGTCTTTCTGCCCATCCCAAGCCATGGACCTGTCCATGGAACTGTCCATAGTCCATGGACCTGTCCGGGTTTGGCGATTGGGCAAATGGTCCAAGACACCCTCGGATTGGATGTTCAAATAGATCTTCTCCCCGTCCTTCCCCTGGCAGATCAAGCGATTGGGCAAGCCGACCGGAGACTTTTTGGTGAAGCTTCCATAGAAAACCTCGGTAGTCTGAACAAAGGCAAACAGCAAGAGGTTCAACCTGGTGGGCGTGTTGCTTCCTTCTGGCATGTGGCTAAGATCTAAAATTCTATACTTCAAAAACCATGACAGTATTTGTGCCCAAGTAACAAGAAGCTAGTAGAAACAAGTGCATCGCTACTAGTAACAAGTGCCTTACTAGTAGTAACAAGAAGCTACTTAGTTTAATATTTGGTTGATGTTTGTCCAAAAAAGTTCCACCTTTTGGGACTTGTCTTGGGCCCTGTTGAACCTGCCCCTTCCTCGAAACAAGCATCGTTTCCGAGATGTGCTGGTTCCGGTTGTGTGTTCAACCGTCAACCAGCTTCGGGGACACCGGGATTCTATTGCTGAGGTAAAAATGGGTGAGGCGGCCCACCATGAAGACACTGTTCTCTCACCTCCCCTGAACCAGACCCACAACGACATTTGCGAGCGCCAAGGGAACACATGCTGTCAAGTAGGTACCCAAGGGAGAAGGATGACTTTGATCCTCGTCGTACAGTGGCAAGTTGGGTCTCCTGAGCGACTTTGGTCTTGAGGAGTTTGGAGTGTCCAGACTGTCCTAAGGCGTTTGGACTGTAGCCATCACCGAAAGGGCCAAGGTTGAGAAACAATGAGTTGAGCTAAACCCAAGAGTTTCTCAACTTTGTTCTGGTGTAGTTCTGTTTGTTCTGGCTACGTTCATAACTTGCACAGAAAAAGGGACCTCGTGATACGTGACCAAGTAGAGAAATTAGAGAAATTTGAACATCACTCACGATTCACAGATGGCTTCTCTAGACTTGGCCATATTATATGTACCAGACTAGAACTACCACCACAGCCTGCTTGAAGTTCTTGGATTGCTGTAATCCCCTACTAAAACATCCTAAAACACTGACCGTCTTGAACATAATGGCTACGTCCTTCGTCATGCGGGCGTTCCAAAGGATTATGTCACAGGAAACCCAGGAAGCAGCCCGTCCCTCTTGCTGCGTCCGTTCTCGTGCACGGTGCACGCTGTGCACGTCTGGGCACGGCACGTCCGCGCCGTTCGTTCGTTGCCAACGAGTGGCAGTTCTCGAGCCCTCTGCCAGGCAGGGCCCACTGGCACCACTTCGCCCCCGGTCTCGGTGGCTAAGGCCTGGTAGAGCGCAGTGATCTTCTTCTGCCAGTAAGGGTTATATTCCTGAGAATGGGCAGAAGCAGGGAATGCAGAGTGGACACCCAGTTAATATGTTGATATTCCTGAGGATTGTGGCAGGGTCTGCTTGTCTCGTTTTCCCCTAACAGGGGCCAAAGAAGGAGCATGACAAGGACAAGACAGTGAACGAGTCGCACCGGATTCCTGGGATTGGCTGAGATGACCGGGGAAAAATGTGGACATCTCGTTGTGGCCGAGTCCACCCTCTGCTAGAAGGTCCTATGACGTCCCACGAAGGAAAAACGGATCAACTGATCAATAACAATGCACCTTTCGGCAAATCCAGGACTCTCTGGCCCAGGTTAGAAAAATAAAGACCTTTGCCTTCTTCTTCTTGATCGCTTCAGCCAAAAGCTTGCCATGAGTCATCATGCATTCTGGCTCGTCCAAGGACCTCATGCTGTGCTCCTGCAAGACCACAGCATCAAAGTTCCCATCTCTGAGCATCTCCAGGGTCTTGAGATCCCTCTCACCTTTCCAATGATGCACTAAGGCCACACCACTGCCTGTGGACTGGCTGGTCGTCAGTGTAATCTGCTGACTTTCAGCCATTGAGCTCACGGACTGTGGCAGGTTCCAATAGAAGGTGTAGCTGTTCCTGGGCCGAACCACTGAAATGGAAAGATGCATTCCAAGATCTGTACTCTGTCCAATGAAACAATATCTGTACTCATCTGTCCAAGATCTGTACAAATGCATTATCCAAATATCAAAATCAAACCCCCCAAAAAGCACATATCATAATATCACTGACAGGATTCCCGATGAAGAGCACCTTTTGGGGAATCGCCATGGCGAGCCCGGCGAGCCGATCAGATTTGCACGTCTGAGCTACGAAGCTGGAAGAGACTTCCAAAGGGTTGTTGATATGTCACCCTGGTCCAGACAACTAAATGATGTTCTTTTTGACTTTAAAGCAGGTCTCAGGTCACAATGCATTTGCTTCGTTTGCGGATGCAAATGAAACACAGCGTTCTTCCTTGGACCGGTTTTCCAAACAGGCAGTCGAACATTCTAAATTCAACTGTCATGTACGGTTGTGCTATGGAAAAACATCACGTTGCCAAGAGCCTATGGGGCCATATGAGGCCTAATGACCAGCTGTTCGATAGTAACCAAGCGCCCAAGAATCCAAACGCCCTTGAGGCGCAGCTGCGTAGGTCACACAAAAGGGTCCAAACAAAAGTTGGATCAGGCCTTCGGTTTTGGCCGGCAAGCATATCAGCCAAACTCTGCACAAACTGATTGAAAGAGCGCTGAGATAGACACCTCTTTGTCAGAGTCCCTTGTAATGTGTTTCATTTCGCACAAACCAAGCTGATTGCCGTCCCTCCTGGGCCATTGCAAAGCACAGTCTTGGCTGTGCCAAAACACAACCGATCACCTCGGATCTCTCAGCACCGTCCCCGGGAGTGTCGCCCGGCCCGTCGCTTGGGACCTGTCGGTTCCCACAACGTTTGGGGCTGGTGGACAACGTTTGGGGTGTGAAATCCCAGACACTCCATGACTGGCAGATTTACATTGGGGTGGTTGAAAAATGTTGAAAAGGGGTCAATGGAGGTCAATATTCCATGCACGGAGCGTCTGGGAATAGTATGGGGAACTGAGAACATATAGTGTCACCAAGTGTCCCGGTTTTACAGATAGAGCAGGCTTCCAGTGCAGGACGACAAAGTGGAGTTGGGTCAATAGATATCAGATGATATCAGTGAAGAGAGACATGATTGAAACCCTGCGATACGAAGTAGCGTGTCTGCAGCCTGTCGTGTTCATCATGGCTGTACCGCTACACGCTTTTCTGGCTGCCAATTGGAGACACTCGACCAAACCCACCCAATCCTGCAGTGCTTCAATGCGCCCCCAGTTGTTTCAGCTGATGGTGGACAACATGCACCACTTAAGTCAAGGGCTGAAGCGGGACCCGGTCAATGATCAATATGATTCATTCCAATGTTTGCCAATAAGCGCATTACTACTATAGTAACAAGAAGCTACTAGGTTGGAGGCCATTGCTATTCGGTTGGAGGCCATTACTACTAGTAACAAGAAGCTACTAGTAGCGATGCCCTTGTCACTAATAATAGGCACCATCCTTTTCATCCAGCCCAAAACCGGGCGGACGCACGGTCAACACGACGTCCGCCGTGCTCCGCCATGCTCCGCCATGCTCCGCCATGCGGCTGTGGTCAGCGTATTTCCCAACGCTCCGATGGCCACCAGCAAGGCCAGCCAGCGCAGGCCACGCAATTCCGCGGCAGAGGCCAAAGGTGCAGTCTTGCTGATGTCGGTGTACCTGGTCCCACGGTGGTGTCGTGACTCAAAAGCTAAGACCCAGAGAGATGCAGTGGGGTTTGATGGTACCTACTTGCGAGCCATGGCCATAGCTGGGTGTCTCATCCCATTCCCAGGGCCTATTTTAACATGATCGATGCTTTTATCTTAGGTAGCTAGGCCTAGATCTCCAAAAAGAGTTGGTCCAATCTCTTCCCGCTTCGGCTGGATCCGGTTTTACCGGGGCGGTACCCATTTTGACGCTCACGACGGTTCACGACCGTCGCTTGCATCTGAAAATCTCAGCTTTGGAAGATGTTGGAAACCGATGTCCCCACGATTTTTGAGGACCAAAGATGTTGGGAACGTGAGGTCCGTCTCGCTTGGCAAACCGCGTGATCTTCCATGTGGGGCTTTCGGTGCTTGAGGGGCAGGACCAGACCGTGTTCCATTTGGTCAAATGAAAGACTTTTTAGGTGATCGAACGAATGATCCACCGGAGACAGTGATGGAGTGTATCCGCCGGAGGCTCAGGAGTTTCCTTGGAGAGGACATTGATCTTCAGGATGAGTTCCAATTGAGGACCATCGCCTTCATCCACAAGGTCCGTTTGGGGTTCGGTTCCTGTGCGAAACGAGATTGGAAGGACACCTCTAACCTTCAAGGGTGTGCGCCAGGAAAACTGATGGACAATGCTTTTGCTAACATTGAACTTGAACCCTCCATAAGATCCCCAAAGCCAAAGGAACATATTCACCACTAAACCAGTGTGGGAGGGTATGCAAGGCAGGCCCACAGCGTTTCCTTCAGGGCCCACGGCCCACCAGATCGCCAGGAATGCAGAAATGCAGACTCAGTCTCTCGCGTAAGACAACCATCTCTCCTTAAGACTTCAGTCTCTCCTTAAGACCAGCAGTGACAGAGGCACTGCAAAGTCGACCCAAATCAATCCCCACACCAGGCGCCCACAGTCGACTGCCAAGATACTTGATCAAACCAGTAAAAACACCTCCCACACCTGAGGTCTGAAAAGCCAAGACTGGTTGGGTCCAAGAGATTCCAAGAAACACCCCGGAGGCAAATGAGGCAATCGCTCTGATTGAGAAACAAACACAACGCGCTGCCGGACTGCCGGTTCCAAAGGACTGCCGCACTCAGAATGGCCGACAAAAACGCAGCCATCCAGAAGTCCCGTCCGATCTCTGAAAAGAACGAAATCGATCCATCTCCAAAGAGCGCTGCTGATACTACAGATTGAAGGATGGTTTCTTTATAAAAGTTTTATATAATTATATGATATTCTGTTATAGAGCATGATAGATTAATGAACATCAGTCGATTGAATTTTTTCGTCTGTGGGATTTGAGTTCTGGGACCCCTCCCTCACAGTCTTCAGCATCCACGTCACAACAGTAGAGGCAGGTGGAGAGTGCCAGAGTTAGGACGATGCCCAAGGGAATCACTCGACTGTGCGTCGCCTCACAAGCAAAGCTGCTCCACCGGACACACGGATTGCATGTTCAGAGTTTTCTATGAGGCTTTCCTGCGTCGTATGGGGGAGGTTGGCTGGCCCCCCTAAAAATAAAGGATCTTGGATGTTGAAGGCACTATATATTTGATTCTGAGACATGCTATCAAATATCATGACATACCTGCGTGCATTGCTCTCGTGACAACCTCAGTGCCGCGGTCCCTGCAAAGAGTGACAACGCCATGGTGTTCCGCTTGCGTTCTCGACCCGTCCGTCGCACCGCCCCACAGTGGTGCCTCTGTACTGAGAGTCGCCAGCACATCAAAGCCAATGTAGGAGAAAAAGACGGAGCCTGCATGAGGCGTGTGCTGTTTGCAAGCAGCTGCGGCAAGGCTGGTTGGGTCAAAGTGTCATGTTTAGATGCAAAGCTTCTGTAACAAAAGGAACCAAACTTGGCTGCTCCTCTCTGGGTTTTAAGAACACCAGCCTTTCAAGAGACGTCCAGATTCAAGCTGATGGAAACATGTCGAAACAGCTGTTCCCGATCGTGAAAGATCTCAACCATAGGCTACCATAGATTCATTAATCAAAAGGGTCTGGCTCTCAGCCGGTCCATCAGCTTCTGCCCGACCCCCATCCCTCCCCCACTCTCCTGCTGCATGCGCCACCCCAGACACACCCGTGGGCATAAAGGGGTCCCAGTTATCTGGATCCACCTGAGAACAACGGAACACTCCGCAGAAACATGACGGCGAGAGTCGGGAGGTCTCCCCCCTGACTCGGTCCAAGCGACAAAGAGACGACGGTGCGTAGTTCGTAGTTCGCATGAACGATCAAAGACAGCTGGCAAATTGGATGATAACATCACTTCCATCGTTTGCTGAACACCCTGCCATTTCAAGTTCTCAGCTTCTCAAGCAGCTACATTAACATCCCGTGCTTTCCAACAATGAACACGGGCAAATTTTACACATAAAGTAAAATAGATTCAAACATATAACAACTTTGCGAAACCCCTTGCTTGCCACTAAGCGTCGTTCGCAGCACCTCCAAAGACATAGATGAGCAGCATGGTGATAGATCCTCAGGTTTGAGATTGGACCCCAAATGAATGAAGTTCAATCATCAACGAATCCTGTCAGTGAGGGAGATAATATGATCATAAGCATATCATTCTTACAAACGATAGACCATCTTGAACCATAATGTCGCGTTACATTCAACCGTTCGGGGCCTCTGCTTTTAATAGACATGACATCAAGGGGCGCTTAACTTTTAAGAAGAGTCTGCACAACTCTGCAGCTTGAGGATATAGTCATCACGGTCGACAGCTAAATTCTCATGTTGACGGGTAGACTCTTCGACTGGATTCAGTTAGTTGGTTGGAGGTGAATCCCACATGTTCCACCACCGCCCATGGCTGGAGCCGGACCATGGCTGGAGCCGGACCACCCCGGCCCGGCCGCTGATTTACTGTCGTCTTTCCATCTAGAGGGGCCCAGTATGGCCCCCCTCTCGTTTTGGGACAACATGGACTTCCCGTGCATTGCCAGGCGTCCCACAGTCACCACGTTGTTGAAGGTCGACACAGCCAGTGTCCCACCTCGGCACGGTGGTCGCACAGGGAATCCTGAAAAGGACCGACTCGTATGTTCAAAAATATCAACACGCTATAGTTGATTCAAATCAAAATCCAACTTTGAGATAGAAACAATTCAAGTCTGGGGTGTGAACTAACTGGTGCGAGAATCGCCCGCCGCACACATGCTTTGACTATGTAGGAAGTCTTGGGGGGAAAGCTGCCATTCATGTCATGCCACCGTTTGGAAGGAAAGCTATAAGTAGTGTCTGGCGACGGCACTGCGAGGCAGTCGCACGGCCACTGAAACACTATGCTTGACCTTGATGAACACCAATGCAGTATACCACGTGTAAAAAGACCGTGGCTTCACATTTTGCATCATTTTGCAAGCTTTGTAGAAATCTCCAGATCAAAGCACCTGAGCACAACCATCTGCAGAAGCATCTTCAAGCCTTCTCACCTGTGCAGTCGCCTCCCACACCGGTGGAAGCTCCGCCACTTGTCACTTGTGACCTGGAACAGCACCTCCAACACGTTCTCGTCTCGTTCTCCAAAAGCGGCAACTGTGGAGCCCACATGATCACTGCCACCGTTCCCTTGTCACACTCGGACGAACACATCACATGGTTTCGTGGATGGCACCCCCTGTTCGTAAAGGAAAGTAGTCTTCCTTTCGGGATCATGCCATCCACTTCCACGTTAGTGAGTCAGAGTGTAAATACCTTGTCTTTCAAGCTCACCGATCGACACATCGTTGAGCCCCGTTGAACATCGTTGAAGCCTCGCATGAAGCGGCTCCTTCACAAAACACCCAAACAACATAAAAGTGCAGATCGCCGTGCATGTCAGTTGACAATCAAATACCTCTAGACTCTAGTCCTGGTGATAAGTCACCCGTCGTGTACTTCCAAAAGCACAACTGTTCTCTTGCCAAAGTACTCAACTATAAGTGTGATCTTTTTTCCAACCCCCAAGCACGGTCGATCTTTTGGAAGAGATACTCTCATTGATATCGGTCCGTTCAAGTCTCTGAAGCAAAGATGTTTGTCAACCTTGTTTGAATGTGTTTGAAAACCCTAGGGTCTATGACTGAAAATGATTCAGTTCCCTCAAAAAGTGGAAGGTGTTGTTTGTGTTCAATTGAAGGAAAAGGGAAAAACCAGCCGAAATTCAAGGTAGTCGAGCAAAGGCCTTCCATCTTTTGTCTTCTGTCCATCTGGACAAACAAGCTGCTTCCCGTAGGCTGCCTTTTCCTCCCTAGGCCACAGTAGGCTCTTGGACTGTTGGGTTGGAGTTCCTCATGTTCCAAGCTGTGCAGCACCGCTTCATCGCCTTTCTTTCCGGCCGACCCGGCGACGACCGAAAACCGCCGGTCGCCGCCGGAGAGACCCCTCGGTCGGTCGGAGACCGAGCCGCAAAGGTTGATCGCAATGACGAAGCCCAGCAGCAGCGGGGCTAGGAACGAGATCTGCCCCGCACGCGCCACGCGTCGATCGCGCACGCGGGTGGCACGCGTGTTGGTGGGTGTCCAGAAAAAGATGCGTCAGTGATGAAACCGTGACATCAGAAAAGGGGTGTGAAACATCAGAACACATATGTCTTTCACATGTAAAACGAAGGCATGTTCAAGCATGTTCTTACATGTTGGAATATAGAACATGGACCTGGCTTCAATTGGGGTGCAACGGCAAACCCCAACGGCCCAGCGGCAGAAAAGAAAAGAACCAAAACTCTGATCATCTCTGAACTAGCTATATAATGATATATAGGTGTTTCTACCAAGCCCATACTTATTGGTAAATCGCTGCCAAGTGCTGTTTGTCCAGACCTCAACAATGCTTAGCCAGCAACACTTGGCACAGGAAGAACAATTTGGGAAACACTTTGACCAGAAAACCAAACCTTGGTGAACTCCCTGCCAAAATCCTATTCGGAACTAACTAATGCAGCAGTTCCAAGACACCCAACAGAAACACCTGTCACAAAAAAAAGAAAAACTGTCCTCCTCCTTCCTCCGGCCCTACACCCAACCCACTTGGGGTGGTGGAGGATCCACCTACACCATCCTACACCTATCTCAACAGGGCCCGCCCCAACCGACCTCCCGTCCCCTCCGCCCCCGGACCCCCGGACCCTCCCCGGTCCTCAAAGGGTCCGAAGGCGAAACCTTCCAAGAATTGGGGCACCGGTGCGCCCACGGTCACCAGCAAAGCACGCAAATATCCTGGAAAGAAACGGTCCAAACATGTTCAAACGCTCCAGGAGTCTGGAGGGATTCTGGAGGGATTCTGAAGAAGGATTCTCCAGGAGGATCGGAATCTGAAGCATTTTTTCAAACAAACGATTCCCGGATCTGAACAAAGGAAGGGGATGGCGTCTTGATGGGTATGCCATACCTGGTTCCATCGTGAGCATCAATTCTAGTTGTCCAATTCAATGAGCCACAAACAACAAGGCTCTCAGTCAAAAACATGAAAGATCACAAGGTGTTCCTAGACTCCAGGTCTCGCAAACATCACCTCTTTTTGAAACAACACTGCAGTGTCTGCCCGCCTTCCCATCCACGGGACACCGCAGCACCAGTCATCACATTGTTGATGATGTTCGTCAATCCAACCATGCAGGCAGGTAGTTCCCCTGCAAATCAACGTGCCATGCCCAACATACCTTTTCGTCAGGAAAGTGTTTGACAATGATATTTCGACAACATACTCAAGCAGATCATGAAGTTTTGAGAAATGAATTGTTGCGAACATATGCCTCACTTTCACCGCTCCAAATAAAATAATCCACTATATAATCCTCAACTGACAGTATGTGGAACATGTCCAACATTGTGGATCACGTGTGACCCCAAAAAATGTCTCAGCCCCATCCAACTTGGGTACCTTGGTGTTTCTGACGTTCTGAAGGAAGAGAGTGCCACATTCTCTGCCACCTGACCTACCCTTTGTGGACTTCCCTGGTCTCAGTTGGCTGCAGTGAGTCAGCTTGACTTGGTTCCACATTCCGCAAACGCGTCACTCTCATGTGGCATCCCAGCAATAAATGCAGAAAAAGTGCTTCTGACATGAGATAGAAAACGGCGTCAAACAACTAACACATCAACACAACAGAAAACTACTATAAACTGCTAAAATAACATTGACTAACCAGGCTAACCAAATCTTAAACAATCCCACATGGATTGATAGGCTAACCGGTGAATCCTCTCTGCTTTTTGCGACCGAGAAGCCAGCAGAGTGGTAGACAAAGCTGTAGGAGCTGCCAGTCGATGGCGCCAAATTGGCCATCTCTGCATAGCACAAGCCTGCCGGTGTTGCGAATACGAAAAAAGGCAGCAACAACAACAACAACCGGTAGCAAGCTTTGGGATGGAAGTAGCAACTAGCACTGGTCCACTGGTCTTGAAAGCCGGTGTCGCTCACATTGGAGATATTGTTTTTTCACTTGCAATCTTCAGTGCGGTCATCACGTGTTCTTTGAAGAAGATCTTTGGAGACTTGGTCTGTTTTGTTCTCTTTCTCTCTCTCTCTCTATCTCGCAAGGCCGTAATTACTGTAATCATCGTGATGTCCGCTGTGCTAGCCTGTGCAGCCACAGCCAAAAGCGGCAATCAGCAGGGCGATCACCACAGCCTGAAGCTGAGGTGATCGAATAGTGAAGCAAAGTCTGCTTCACTTGAGCAGTGTCAAAGACCCGAGCTGTGGTACCGCGGTTCCACCACGGCCCGCTGCGTCAAGTGGGGGTGCGATGGCGTGCGGCGTGACATTGGAAGAAATCGGACGCCAGATCTCAGTGGTCGAAAAGAGGACTTCCCAATCAATCCCAGGAAATGGTGGAACAAGGAATAAACATCCGTTTGAAGTTCGTTCTTAGGCAACTGCTTTCAGATCCTAAAATATCATGCAAATAACACAAAACGAATAAAAATAACTATGCACCCCCCCCCCAAAAAAAAAAAAAAAGTTCCGTAAAACACCAAAAAACGTAAAAACGTCTGGCACATGACGATCCACTCTCTTCAAGGTTTTTGGGGGGCCACCATCCCCATTGGGGGTGGACTGTTCGTCCCACTGCCCATACGGTCCACCCTTCATCCCCCGGAGACGTGTCCCAGTGGCCGGTCCGGCTTCTTCCGAGGCCTTGCCGGTGGCCATGAAGACCCCGGCGCCCACCGTGACGCCCATCCCCAGGCCCACCACATCCCTCGTCCTCGGTGTCGCGACGCTGAGAACAGACCCAGATGGCAGGCGAAGAGGACCGGAAGGAGATCAACTGTGAGTTGGGGAGATGATTTGGGGGTCGGTCTTTGGGAGGTCTTGATGTGTCAGGGTGGAAGGAAAAAACCTGGAAAAAGATGCTAAAAATCTCCCACTCGTTGTCACACCGGACCCGGTCCCGTCGTTGTTCGCGCACCGGTCCAATGCCTCTGTGGTCCGGTGCGTTTTGGGTCGAACGCAGGGGTTGAGGATCCCGGTCCAAGAGGAGGGCGCTTTGGGTCGACATGTGAGAGACCAAGCGTGCCTCTAGGATTGAAAGTCGGACATGGACATGGGTGGCCGCAAAGCGACGTTTATATATCCGCCGACCACACCGTGGGGTGAGGCGTGACTGTCGATGTTAGCCTTAGCCTTAGGCCTTAGCCTTAGCCTTAGACCTTAGACCTAGTCCTTAGCCTTAGACCTAGACCTTACCTCCCCTACCCCTCCGGACCCTTGTTGGAGTGACGAAATCCTGCCGGGAAAGCGACCTGGATTGTCCAAGAATCTGCCATCCCAATTGATTTACATCTTGGGGCACCCTCTCGACCCGCGCGGGAAAATAAGCACGGTCCAAAATGGTCCTGGGCTCGAATCCCGGGCTGGTCGCGGCATGGTCCCGGCCAGTGCCCTTGCTTTTTCGTAGATTTTGTCACGTTTTCTGTTGGTTTATGAGATTTTCAAAGGCTTTTCTGGCATTTTCCTAGGAATGTTCTAGGCTTTGTCTTTTTGGGTACCTGCTTTGGTGGTGCTGGGTTGGGTCTAAATTGGTAAACCTGGGAGGTACCCAAAAAGTCGACTTTTTGGGTACCTGCTTTGGTGGTGAAGGGTTGGGTCTAAATTCTTGGGCAATGATCGGGGTTCATGCAAGAGCTGACGTCCGATGGTAAATCTGGGAGGTACCCAAAAAGTCGACTTTTTGGGTACCTGCTTTGGTGGTGCTGGGTTGGGTCTGCACTCTTAAGGCTAAGGCTAAGGCTTAAGGCTAAGGCTAACATAGAGCAAGGCTAGCGCTAAGGTTCTATCCCTTGGGGGTCGGCGGCTGCAGGCGGTAGCCTGGTAAATAACATCTTCATGAATAGGCTTCATTGTTTCATGGCTTAGTTGATTGGCCGGATACAGTGACTATGAAGTCACCTAAAACATGAGGTACCGTCCAAAATGATCAAACATGGCACATGTGACGTGTTTTGTTGAAGTCATGAAGTGGAGAAGAACCAAAGCATACCATTCATGTGTGATCATGGGTCAATCTTCAGTTCTTCAATCCATCCATGGCAACGGCGCAAGGCAGCGATCTTCAAAACGGGCCGCTTCAGGCAACGACGTAGTCCACCGTCTTCTTCCTCTTCCGGGATGGGCTTGGTCCGTGATGCTCGCTTCAGGACATTTGTCAAGGAATGCATTGTGCCTTTCCTGCCGCGGATGGCGTTCACCCGTGGTCACGGTCTCAAAGGCGTGATCCAAACAGCTTGAACCCTTGGCGCAGGTTTCTAGCTGGAAGTGATCAACAGGGCTGCCTACTGGACCAAAAGGTGAAGTGACTAAACACGGAACTGACTAAACACCGAAGACCTGAGCAGATTCAGTTCGCTGCTCCTTCCTGTTCACTGCAGCTTGGGTCACAGCATCCACGGAAAGACAGGACACAGACAGGACGATTTCACCAAGAAGAAACTCTGACATACCTACTCACCCAGCTGTCCCAGCAGCATATCTCACACGTCTTATGGGGGAAGTTCAGGCAAACAGCAAGTCTGGATGCTTTGCTTCTGAAAAGGACGCGCCACCTGGGCCCGCGGAGCGACTTGGAACGAGGACCGCTCACTTTTCCCGGAGGCCCATCTTCGGAGGAACCATCACTGGTTATCGCCGCGCGCTCCTGTTGTGGCAATGGTCATGCTCCGGGAAGTCGTTCATCGCTCGGATCGCTTGAATGGCTTGTTTCTCTGCGTTGTCTTGAGAAATCAAGCATGAACTCTTGAAAGATCCTTGGAGGTCGGGTTATCTATTGATCTGAAATGCTCGCAACTTGTATTACCTTTTGGCTGATCTTGGAGTGACAACACAAGAAGTCTTGCGAAAGAGCACAAGCACCGGCGTGAAACACAATGAGTGAAGATGTGCAGGGAAAAGCAGAGAGTGGCAACCAGAGCTGTAGTCGTTAAAGTGAATAAGTGAAGAAGGCAACACTAACCACAGACAGCAGGTTGAATTCTAAAGCAAGAGGACACGACCAAGTATACAAGAGAGCCTACCAAAACTCCTGTCACACACTAAATCAACAACATGGCCACGTTTGGCGAGTACGGACCAATACATCCATCAGGTGACGTTTTGCGAGTCAAACCGTCTGTTTTCCGGACCAGGCGTGGTCATTTGGTCGGACAAGAGTCCGATTCCTAGGTCCGATCCGACCGATGGCTCGTTGGCGTCACGGCCGAGGGGCTCGAATCAGATGGCTCCTTGACTTCACGGTCTGAAGATCATAGCAGATCAACACCTCAAAAGGCCCAGCAGAAACCACCTTATGTTCACCATGTTGACCAAGCACTTGAAAAAACATCCCCCTTGGGAAGATGGTAGCTGTCAGAAGTCCCACGATTCTCCCCCCATGCGATTGAATGACCTCAAACAAACCACACAAAAAGCCTGCTGGAGCTCCCCTTTTCCGTTCCAATGAATGCAAGGCCCATGCACCCAACGTGCCTCAGTAAAAAGAATGAAACCGTGATGCCTCAAAGGGATAAAGCCATACCTCAGTGCGGAGAGCTTGCGGGGTAGAATCAAGAGATCCTGCAGGCGCGTGGTGAAGCTTCAAAGTCTGCCAATGACCCCCAGAAATCACATGGGATTTAGTGTAGGAAACACTCAAATCAAGCGTAGGAAGGAATTCTCCAAACAAAAAAACAACAAACACATGCAGTGGATGATGTGTAGATCCCTTCGATGGTCGCCATCCGTTCGTCGTTTTCGTCCGTTGGTCGCCCCAACATCGTGCATCGTGACCAGTGCCATGAGAAAACAATCGATGTGTTGAATCAGTAGAGGTTACAGTACTGTAACTGTAAGCAGTTGAAGCAGCATTGCTGTTGAGTGAATCACTAGGTCTGCTAAAGTGACTGAATTTGTCGCATTGGCGCTTTTTGACATGGCCCAAAGAGTCTCGAACACGACTTACTAACTGGTACCCACTGTGGTGTAAGTTGCCTCGCTTTCAAAAGGCTGCCACCCTTGGGTTTCTGGGTTTCTGCACCACAACTGCAGGAGAAACCGGAGAAATCCTGTCCTCTTGCCACCATTTTTTGCGGCCATGCAAATCCACATAACAAAAAAAAGGTTTTTGCAATTTTTAGCACGTAACGTGTTGTAGGAAAAAGACCTCCTGACGACTGTGACGACCCTTAGATTGTTTTGGTGAAATCCCCCTCCAAACAAAATAGATCTGAATGTGAACATTGGTTGCCTGGATCCCTGGAAGGCCATGTTCAATCATTTTCATCTATATATACTTGTTCTACCTTGGTTTCACGGTTTCACGAGTGGTTTTGGTTCTCATCCGACCCAGCAATTCTACAAAACCACTCTGAGGGTTCAACAGCATCCAGGAGTTCACGCTGTAAACAGCCTCTCTCGAGATGTCTTGCTTGCAAGCACGACATGTGACTGATCTCAGGTGGTCGATACAGGCAGGATTCCCATCCAAGCCAATTTGACATCTCTCTCTCTCTCTCACAAACACTCACACCGTTGAAACCACTGATTCATCTGGTTTCTTGTTGACACCACACCACCTTGTTGAAACCACCGCAGCAAACATTTGCGGCTCGGCCCAGCGTAAGCGATCTTCTTAAAACCTGGAAGACGGTGCCTCGTTCTGTTGATTGAAGAATCCCTGCACCACCTGGAACGCAAACAATCCGGCAAGATCCTGCAAGTATGATGATTGCTACTGTGATTGGTATATTCAAAGGAGGTCCAGGATGTCTTACAAGCAGCACCATTCGTGACCAGCCATCGCGACCGCAAGCACCACCCCTTTTAAGAACACCGAACATCGTCCCGAGCGTCCCGACCTGTCCCGAGCGTCCCCGTCATCGTCTCATCGTTCGATTCGCCTCGGTGATCCGTAGATTCAGCTCTCCAAGGCTCCGCAGGTACCTGGGGTCCACTGAGACGGGAAGGCTGTCCACGACACGGTGAGGGGCCTGTTTGGGCCATCCCTGGGCCTGTTCGTGTGTGGCCGCAAAGAGTGGTAGCGGGATTCCAGAATTCATCAGCAAACCATGTCATGCAAAGAAATGATCTCAAGACTTTCCTCGCCGTGAAGCGGCGGCTAGAGGATCTGGGCGTTCAATTGGCATTGATGGGTCCCATTGATGGGTCCCACCAAACTGGTTTTTGAGGGGTCACACGAAGGACTCGTCTACAACCTATATACAAGATTTACCACTTAAGTCACCTGAAAGCCAAAGGCCAACGCAGGAAGAGAAGTCGTGCAGAGTCAGGGTGACGTTCCAAACACTCCTTGGACCCAACACCGAAACGCTTGCGCGTCCGGACCTGAACCGTCGTCCCTTTCCATTGGTTCGGGCCCGGATTCTTAGGGTGCATCGAGATTTGCTGAAAAACTGGATCACTGTCAGGCGTTGCGCAGAACAATTTGATACATGTCTATGTTCTCTATCAACATAAACTATCATAATATACGATAATATATATATATATTATAATATTTATCATTTATCTATTTATATTTATGGAATATGTCGATGCTGTATCTCAAGAATGCGACAAACATTTGGCGGCAATATATCGTCAAGCTTTACAAGAAAAATACACAGCCTGCCAAGGTGGCAGTGCAGTTTGTCCATGTTTTTCCTCAATGACAAAATGTCAACCTTCTGACACTCAGAAGAATATTGGAGATGCCTCAGATTTCTTCAGCCACGCAGCCACGCCACCATGAAACATTCAAGCCTCTGGGGTGATCCCGAAATTGAAATGCTAAAATCGCTCAAATTGCAATCTAAAGATCATTGTCCAGAGGCCATCACCTTTTTGACCTCTGCTTTGGATTCCTTCAAAGAACGCCACCTGTTTCGCTCGCAGAACATGCCAGGAACATGCTTTGGGTTCTCTGCCCTTCCTCGACCCAACAGCCGCGCCTTAGGAGGCCATCCAAATCGGAGCTTGGAACGCTGAACTCGGGGTTCTCCTTGTCTTGAGCGACCAAATGGAGCGACCATTTTTGGGGCGCCGCGTCGTTTTTTACTTGGTAGTAGGACACATGGCAATGTGAAATGAAGAGCAGCTAAATTCTATGCGAGCCATGCCAATCAGCTCTTCTCTCTCACAGCAGGAACCTCGCATAGACTCAAGCAGGGCACCCGGAGTCCGAAGGAGCAGCTCAAGGAGCAGCTCAAGTCGTTTGGGAAAAACAACGTTGTGAACACCTCGGACTCCATTGGTCTCCAACGAACGGCACCCACCCAGCCTGAACGGGAGCCCTGGGCGAGCAAGACACAAGAAGACACAAGAAGACACGGACAACGATACGCAACTCTAACATGCAAAGGCACTGTAAGTATGGAGGTCCATTTCACTTGAATTCTAAGGAACATGTATATTTCATTATATTTCAGTAGAAATGATATATGTGTCAAGAGTCGGAGAGCATAGCCACCACTGGGCCTGCGAGATCAGTTCCATCTCCTTTTGTCTTCATCTTTACATTCGACTTGTTCTCGTTCCAAAAATATCGACACATCCGCAACATCGACAGACGCACATCGGCGGCCTCTCGCTGAATTGGGAGGCTCGAGATGTCGAGATCTGTGCTCGCTCTGAGCTGTTGGGCCTGAGCTCGGCTCGCTGCGGAAGCTGGTTTTCGGAGTTCGCGATGGGAGGCGGCCGAGGCTACACGAATGCATTAAGAAAAAAACAACTCCTCTCAATGCACCATGGACAGAACAGAATTTATGTTGATGTCACAAAATGTTGCGTGCTCATACTTCTTGCTGTCCATTTTCTGGGTGCCCCAGCAGATTTGGAGCCTTGCGCTCGGGGGCACCGCAGCCCACGAAGGAGGAGAAGGACCCGCTTGGCGCGCTGCTGGGGCCACCTGGAGGTGTTGAACACATCAGGGGACCCTGCTTGACCACGGAACATGGAACAGAATAGACTACTAAAGGAGATCAAGCTAGGGGGTTAGGGGTGCAGGTTTCGACCCACATCCTTCTCACAGGAGCAAATGCATGATGAGGCCATTAAGGATGTCTGGAAAGGTGGTGATTGAGAGTATCTAGAATCTAGAATCTAGATGATCCTGACTTGAAAGAAAAATGGTGCAAGTGCTGCTTCTGGGTGCTGGACTGTGATTCGATTGATGTGGTCGAGGGCTGGCAATGATCCTGGCAACGATTAAGAAGCTTGGTGGGGCTCCTCAACCAAGCGGGAGCTCCGCCATGTATCATTTGAAGTCACTTCTCCTTATGTTCGCGGGTTTGGGACTCAATACCAGAAGTCTTTTCCTTGAGAGCTGCGGGAACTGCTGGCACGTTGCTGGCCAAAAGGGAGCAAAAGCCTGCGCTGTTGATTGCACATGATAACTTGACAACTTGGCCCTGTTACCTTGTAGATCCTTGTAGAGTTGTACAACCAGATCCAGAATTCCAGATATGAGTCGGGCGCTAGTGAGGGAACTGCCGAACAAACGGGGACCTGTGTCTGAGAGATTGGGAACAAAAACATATAAACACATTGACATGGGTTAAGATCGGTTAAGAAACTTCGTGGAAATGGTATCCAAACCTACCCCACTCTCTCTCTCTATATATATATATTATATTGATATTATATATATACTGCATATGTAATGTCTCTGGATCTCTCCTTCAAGAAAAATGGGACATGAACAACAAAAACATCATATATTATGTCTATGTGTGTAACTCTCCCTTCCTCTCTATCTATCTTCTCTTTCTTTCAAACCCAGCTTACAGCAAACGACTTTTGCCAAAAGACCCTGGCCATGTCTTCCCAAAACGGCCCGCGTCTCTCGCGCCTCGGCGGCCGCGGGCTGCTGGGGGTCGCGGACCAGGTGGGACCTCCGCGGTACAACCGAGGTATGGAATCCATGGGACTGGAAGAGTGACCGAAACATGATCTGGGGTCAAGTTGGATTGGATGGGGTATAGGGTAAACGGACTCCATGGAATAGTCAATGTCTGGGGTCAAGTTGAATCGGTATGTAAATGTGTACATGTCATTTTTCCAGGGATGGTCTGGGGAACAGGGCATTGACCAAAAACGGCGATCTTTCCCACCTGATCTCCATCTGATTCACCTGAGGTGCAGAGTTTCTTGCAGAGGGTTAGCGAAGGTCGTAACTACCAAAAACCCCTTATTCAATCATTGATATTTCAACCAACAGGATGTACTCCACAGGACATCCATAGCTTCCAAGATCTTGCGAACAAGACAGCACTTGGATTGCCAAGCAACCTGTCAAACAAAGGTCCGAGTATTCTCTGTGCTTTCAAACCACTTTGGACTCGAGTCAATGATTGTACAGAGTGTTTGGGACATACATAATCAGGTCAACGTTGATTGAACTTACTGCAACTTACTGGTTTTGAATCATCCATCAAAGAACTTACGAGGCAATCCACATTAACTCTCATGCAATGAAAACTTCGGACCCCGCCCCCGCAGTGAGTTGTTCTTTTGGGTCTGCGAAGGATGAAGGTCCTGGAGCATCCACCGAGAAAAGGTACGGTGCATCATCCACCGGTCGAGACCAAGTTCGGCATCATCCCCAAAGAGTGATACAAAGACCTGGCTGGACCTTTGTTGCGGCCAATGTTCAAGCGGCTCGCAAGGCGCAAGTTCAGCACTCTCACTTTGCGAGCCGCAAGAAAACGATACGCAAGTAACAGCATGCGTGTGTGTGTGTGTCACACCCTGTATCCAAGGGTTTCTTCTTTTACCCCCGTTCTTTCCAGCAGGGGGCTGGCGGTCCATTTCTCGACGCTAGCCAACGAAGCTAAAGAAATGATGGATGGATTAGTCCGTGGACGCACGGACTTGTACCTGCGCTGTTTGAACTTTTGAACTTTTGACCTAGCTGTCCACCCTATTCGTCAATAAAGTGCTAATGCAGCCGCCGCTCGCCGCTCGCCGCTGCAGATGTTCCAAGCAATACCAGTTTCGGACCCTTCGCCTTGCGGTTCCCTCAAGTCAAGTGCCGTGCACTCGTGGGTTATCGTTTTGAATGAACCTTATCGAAGTGTGTACTACGCTTTCCCACTCGGGTGCGTAGTGTGATCCCGGCAAGGGGCGCTGAGACCACTCCGGACGCCACTTTCAGCATAGCGTTTCTGCATTGGTTTGCCATTAACAGCTAGATCGGCTATCAAAGATAAACTGAAATCCAAGCCGCCGGGCCCACGGAAACTTTCACTGGATATTTGACTTCAGCATTTTCATTTGATTTCAACGTTTCACTTTTCAGTGGTCACATGTGCTGACTGCGTTTCTTGCAATTTCAGACTTTCGAATGATCCCCACCCCCGCCCTCTTTCTCTCTTGCAGCTTGCTTCGTTTGTTGGGTGTTTCTTCAGGCTTGTTAGGTTGCTTGTCAGGCTCGTTTCCCTGCCCCTCGGTTTCGTTTCTTTCTCTCCTGCCTCTTCGTTTCTCTTTCTAGGTCTGCCTTTCTCAACGGCTTTTTAGGTATGTAACCAAGTACTCACTAGGTGTAGAACCTAAGTAACTTCCAAGCTGTCTACTGCGTTGTTACTTTCTTAATACAAGCGTCCGCCGCATTGCGGCGCTGAGTGTGTGTGTGTGTGTGCCCCTTGTAGTCACAGGGATTCGTTTGAATTGTTTTTTCATTAGCAGGGGGTGCAAGCAGCCCATCCAGTCTTGCACCAACGAAGACACTGGATGTGTGCTGGTGAAATCAATCCGGGACGCCGGATTGACGTACCTGCTGGGAGAGAAACCTACGTAGAGCACAGGCTGTCTACTTCGTTGTTTCCTTCAGTCAAGGGCTAATGCAGCGATGATTTTCCTTGAGTGATTGGACCTCTGGAGCTCCACTGACTTGCCCGACCCGTCGTCACCCCGTCGTCGTCGCGCGCCTTCGTGTTCATAGGTTTGGAGGCCTCTAACCCACTACCTGGAACCTTAGGTGGTTTTACCTAGGCCGGCGTGTGGCACCGCTGTCAAGTCAGTACGCATATCCATAAGTGTGTTTGGCCTGGCGCCAACCCGGGATGAGCCCGCAGAGTGCCTCCCGTGGACCCGTCGAACGGGGGTTTGTCCATGTTCCCCGGCTCTGGGAACGCAGATGTCCGCAGCGGACAGTAGCTGGCTTATGCCACAAGAACCGGGATGTTTGTCTCATTTTTGGAACTCCAAGTTGGCTCATGCCTTTACGTGACCGCAGCGGTCAAAGCAGCCAGCCATTTCGGCAGGGCACAAGGTGACCACAGCGGTCAAAGTCAGTTTAAGGTTCATTGGAACCTGTCCCAACCTCAGGTGCACACACAGCGCTTACACTCAAACGAGGCAGGTCCCTAGGTGCTCCTAATGAGGTTTGGTTTCATCGGTTCTCGTCCCCTCCATGTGGTTCCCCTTTCACTTCCCCTTCACACACTTTTGTTTCCTCTTTTTTTTTATGTCCTCCTGTCTTCATGTCTGTTCATCTCATCCTTTTCTTCGTTTGCGTGCACATTGGTCCCGGCCTTAGTGTGTACGTGCACTTCTACATACCTTTAAACACAGGTTTCAGGTCGCCCAGGTCTCTACAATGAGGTGGGCTTCATCGGGTGTCCCTGTGCACTTGGTTCCCCTTTCATTTCAACCACACGCACCTTTGTCCCGTCTCGTCTTCCTGTCATGTCTTCATTCTTTTGTCTTGTGCGCGCACACGTGCACATTGGCCCTCACCTTAGCTTTACGCCTCCCCTCGGAGGCGTGTGTGTGTACCCCTTGTAGTCACAGGGATTCGTTTGAATTGTTTTTTCATTAGCAGGGGGTGCAAGCAGCCCATCCAGTCTTGCACCAACGAAGACACTGGATGTGTGCTGGTGAAATCAATCCGGGACGCCGGATTGACGTACCTGCTGGGAGAGAAACCTACGTAGAGCACAAGCTGTCTACTTCGTTGTTTCCTTCAGTCAAGGGCTAATGCAGCGATGATTTTCCTTGAGTGATTGGACCTCTGGAGCTCCACTGACTTGCCCGACCCGTCGTCACCCCGTCGTCGTCGCTCGCCTTCGTGTTCATAGGTTTGGAGGCCTCTAACCCACTACCTGGAACCTTAGGTGGTTTTACCTAGGCCGGCGTGTGGCACCGCTGTCAAGTCAGTACGCATATCCATAAGTGTGTCACACCCTGTATCCAAGGGTGTCTTCTTTTACCCCCGTTCTTTCCAGCAGGGGGCTGGCGGTCCATTTCTCGACGCTAGCCAACGAAGCTAAAGAAATGGATGGATGAGTCCGTGGACGCACCACGGACTTGTACTTGCGCTGTTTGAACTTTTGAACTTTTGACCTAGCTGTTCACCCTACTCTTCAATAAAGTGCTAATGCAGCCGCTTCTCGCCGCTCGCCGCTGCAGATGTTCCAAGCAATACCAGTTTCGGACCCTTCGCCTTGCGGTTCCCTCAAGTCAAGTGCCGTGCACTCGTGGGTTATCGTTCTGAATGAACCTTATCGAAGTGTGTGTATTCATGAAATCATGCAACAGACCGGGCTATTTCATGGAACAGAAAAAATTGTTCGGCAGGGATGGTGCATTAATACACAGTGCTACACAAAATAAAGAACTTCCAGCTTTCTGCTTTGTACAGTCAGCTGTTCATCACGATGTCCTATTTCAAAAGATCGTGCCAAATCACCTCAGCGACAATGAACTATACTGGCTAGTATCCATGCAAGGCATTGGAAGCAATCAACAGTCAGCAATACATGAAATAGCTCTTGTGTATTTATATACAGCATATGGGATGGAACAGAGAACTCTTCAAGTCTTTCACCACCGGAACGGTCTGTGGTGAACCCTGTGTCTCTTTGCTTGCCCAGATGGCCAAGAATGAATTACGTGCAGACATATTAAAACAAATGAATTCTGCATAAACATATTAAAACGAATGAATTGCGTGTGTTGAAACCAGCCAAGAACCCATCTAACTGCACCACAATAACGACTGCTGTAGTTTTTTACAATATAAGTCTACTATAGTCTACTGTATTTTGCTCAAGCACTGGTCATTGTCTGGCTTCCCCCGAGGGATCCATTCAAGCAGGGGTGGACTCATGTTCTCCCCCACAGAGCATGCGAGATGGCTGGGCCTCACTCAGCAAGTTCCACAATTCTTCACGCACATCATGTGATGAGGGGGCTTCGGGATGATGCACTCGAGCCACTGTGGTAAGAAGAGCTAGTGTTGAGCTCACAAGCGCATACAAAGCATATTGATCCCAGCTACCAAGCACAGTCAGACATGCTGTGAAGAGAAATTCAGGAAGATCTTGGAAGAATGTAAAGATGTACTCACAGTCGGCGAAACGTTCTCCGTTGTGGCGGGTTCGGAACAAAGCAAAGACCTCAGCCATTTCCAAAAGAATCAAGGCCAGACAAAGAATGAAGCCTGCTAGTGGGAAAATCGATGGCTCCTCGGGGAATTGTGCCCACGCCATTCCCACCAATGCATATAGATTCAGTAGCTCCTTCACAATGATGGCATGAGCCTTGGTGATGTAAGGTACCAATTGTGAAACGGGGTCCTCAGGGTTTGGGTACTCCACCATGGCTGTGATCAGCTTCTTGAACGAATGCATTGTGTTGGCGGCCTGAGCCAGGCTGATTCAAAAATTCAAAAAATCGCAATCATGGGTTTCTGCTGAAAAGGCGGGCGCTATCGAATTTATGAATCAACGTTGCAAGTTTGCAACTGTATCTGACTGATTTAGACAAAAATATATAATCTTAGGTATATAAATTGGAACGGACCCCGACAAAGTGTTCTTCCTCCACAGTCAATGTGGCACTAGGACCTCCTAGACAGTCCTAGCCTGCACGATCAAAATGTAGGAACCAAAGTCTTGTCCTCCAGCACAAAAAAGAATTTCTCGATCTGCATGGGGCCAACGGCCTTTTCTGACAATTGCATAGTATGGAAAAGCTCCCCAAAGAATGAAGAGATAGAGCATATTGAAGCATACCGTCAGCACTATCCAGCATATCTGGATTCCACAAGATATTCCGAAAGCAGTAACATATGTGCAGAAATCATCGCTAATGCAGCACGAGAAAAAGACCAAAGGACTGCAACACATGCATATCCAAAAGAAGGAGTCCAAACCAAAAGCCGCTGAGTTCAATGCATCTTGAAGCCTCTCCACAAGTGACCGGTAACTGAACTCCCTCGAAGGACCCAAAGCCTTCTTTTCTTCACAGTCTAAATCTCTGGCAGCATCTTCATCAATGATGGAACACATGCGTCCGATGAAGGGTGGATCACAGCTGCAGGAGCAGTTGTCAACATGAAACCGACCTCTCCCAAAGCAAAAGTCATCATTTTTGCCACAGACTTGTCGTTCCAAGACCCGATAATCTCCAAACTTTGCCAAGTAGAACTTGAGCTTCACCATGGCTCCGAAGCTTGAGTCTTGTTCCAACCTCGGAACCGCCGCCTGGTCCTCACCTGGGAGGCCCGTGGGACGAGGTCCGTCTCGCGATCGGTGAGTGAATCCGAAGCGTGAAGATCCACGTCTAGAGTTTGGGTCCGTCCGTCCTTACCTGTAACAGTCAGTAAACAAGCAAATCACGATTCAAGAGAAAGGCCTACAACTGAACCATCATCATCCACTGTTACTGGTAGCCCGGGATCAAGAGACTTACCAGCTAGTCGGGCGGTTTCATTCGGATCCTCTTGATGTGCCATGGTTGAAAGTTCTGGAAAGATCGACGAAGATTTCTTCCAAGGACGAAGGGCCAAATTGTTCTGTGCTTACTATGATGATGGGATTTGTCATGCCTGCACTATGGACAAGGCGCTTCCAAAGTTGACATTGAAGGTGATGTTCGTGAAAGGGATCGAATCCATCCTGCCTGTCGGAACCACCTTCATTTTGGAGAATTTTGCATTGTCATTGGAGGAGTCTCCCGTCATTTCGGGAGCTTTGACTGAAGGGCCTTTGCTGCCACTCGTCTTGCCGAAGCCAGCTGACAGAGGCATTGCAGAGATCTTCGCGGGCATTGGAGGTTGGGGTATGGCCACTGAAGCTTTCGGTGCCCTGCCATTAGTGAGCCTTGAAAAGGACCATGCTACTGCTAAGTGCCACGCACAGAATGTCATGATTCCAATGCTGGAGACTAAAGAAGCCATCACCAAAGGGCTTGCTGGTGAACTGCCCGCTCGGTTCATATTGGTTGGAGATGTATTCGACAGTCGGTGTTGGATTGTGATGTCATGGAAAAGGATTGCACATTATTTTGCATCGCCACCATGCCAAAGCTGGAGTGGGGCCGGATGGCAACAAGGTTTAGATTCGATCAACGGCCAAGCAATGGAAGTCTGTATTGAACGTACTACCATGCTGAATGCCAAGTCGTTGACAATGGAGAATGTGCCCTCCATCCAGACGCATCCTGATCTTCAGCAGATCAAGAAGTTGATCAATGAGTGCAATTATGTCATTGGCCATGAAGGCATTGACGAGATTTATCCAGTCTTGCCTATCAAGCGCAAGCGGTGGATGATGACCATTCTGCCTAAGGGGAAGTCCTTGGAGCTGTCAACGATTGAATATGCCAAGCAGGTCAAATTCCCTACGTGTTTGCCAGTCTTTGGGGCTCGGAACTCATTGGCCTTAGCACGAGCATTCAATGATCACATACTCCCTTGGGAGCAGGAGGCATTGAAGCCCTCAGCTGATGCGATGGAGCTTGCAAAAGATCGTTCGTTGCTGCCGAGACACATGTTGAATGGGCCCACTATTTCCTCCCAAGAGGAGGTGATCAAGCGGAGGACCATTGGTCAATGGGAACCGGTGCCCTCGCTCATGTCTTGTTATGGGGGTCAACATGAGCTGCCTCGTGATCTTTTGAAGCACCATGGATTACATTCATGGTTTGTCAAAGATGGGGAGCACATTCGTTACCTTTCGCCGTTCGAAGGTGCGTTTGCTCTAGGATTCAGTTCGAAGTTGATTTTGCCGGCCGATTTTCGATCTGCGCATCGTTTGATTGGGAACGCAATCTCCTTTGCACACTCCACACTGCAAACTTGGAGGACCCATCTCCTGTTAGGTCAGGACTCACCGTTTCGCACTGATGTCCTTGGCATTTCTGATTTGGTTGATTTGATTTTCGACCGAACAGGCAGGTTTGGTGACAATGTTGTGGTCAAGGATGGATCTTTTGCCCGTCTTGCTTTTCCAGGTGCTGCTGAACGCAAACGATCGCCGACCGAAGAGGTTGATTCGTCCGAGGACTCACAGCCCAAGAGAGCTCGAAGCCTTGATATTTCGCCGACAGTGCCTTTTGAGGTGATTGGTATGGACCCATGTGAGGTGGACCTTGCAATGCCATATCTCAAGCCCAGTGATTTGCAGGCTGTTTCGGTTGCTGCCAGGCTGTACACTCAGCCGTTGGACCAAGGTGCCTTTGAAGAGGGCTCTCAAGAATTCCTGCCGGTGGAACACCTCAATTCGTGGGAACAGGGTCGTTTGGTGCAGGTTGCAAATATGATCCCATGTCAATTGCTCCATGAACAGAAGATTTGGACCGAGTTTGTTTGGTTACCGAAAGATACCAACATTGGTTTTGCCATTCAGCAAGCATTACCACATTCTTTGGAGTGCCATTTCAACATCATCCAACATGATATTGCGGAGGTGGGTTTCCATGATCCTGTCAATCCTGAACAGCCGTGCACTATTTTCCTAGATACAGTCAAGATTGATCGTCTGGTCTCGCCAACTTTCACGCAGGATAGCCTTTTGGTGTCTGTGGATGTTTGTTGGAAGTTCTCCGATCTCATTGCCTATGTGGCATCTCAATGCGGGGTACTCCCAAGCAAGGTGGTCATCCTGGATGATCATGCACCCATGCCGGATGCAGCATTTGTGTTGCAACAGTTGACTACTTCCTTCAAGGCAGCCCTGGTAACAAGCCCTTTGGATACCAGACAGCTCATGCCAAAGAAGTTTTGTGATTTTGCCAAGACCAAGGAGGTCACTATTGCTGGTGTGAAGGTTTCCAATCCAATGCATACAGACAATGCGGTCCCTGCAGACTCGGCTGCTGTCCGATTTGCCGCCAGGAATCCGCACTGGGGCTCCATCAGATCCATTGCCATCAACAAGCAGGAATCGGTCAGCAAGTTGGTACTCATGTTGTTTCCAGACTTCCTAGACTCGATCCCGAATGTCACTGCTGAAAGTGCACTCATCGACCCCTCCGACCCAGTGGAGGCATTGATTGCGAAGCCCAAATTAGAAGTCCATTTCGAAGGGTTCAAGCCATGGCCAGTCACCGATTTGGAATTTCTTTTGCCCTTCGGTCAACCAACCACAAATGATCCGGCCTACCTGGTGCCGCTGTGGGTGCAAGGGCCGTTTGATTATCGTGCCAAGCGGGTTCAGGTCGACAAAGAATGGACGCTCACCAAACTCGCTGCTTCGTACCTAGTGCTGCATCGTAGCAATCTTACCATGATTGTACTACAGCATGGCAAACCTTTGGACCCACGCCAGACGATTCAGCATGTGTGCAGCGATCATGAAATCCAAATCAGGGTTTGTGCATTGCCAGGTGGTGCCAAGTCTGAAGATCTGGTGAAGTTCCTCGAACCCCTACTGATGAAGCGTGGCGTACCAGGTGATGCTGTCAAGGCAAGGGTTCAATCCGTGCTAGCCAAACTAGACCATGCCACCATTCGAGCACACATGCACGATGACGCTCAGACTTTCTGGGGTTATCTCAAGCAGTGGGCCAATGATGCCAAGCTTCGTCTGATTACGCCAGATGAGTTGAAGGCTCAGAAGAAGGCTGGACGTGCCGAGGCGAGGGTTCAGGCTGCTTCATCCAGTGCCTCTCCAGCTGTTCAGAAATTTCAAGAAGCATCCACACAGCAAGTTGTCATCGACACGAGCCATTTTCTTGCGAATGGATTGCAAGTGCCCAAGATTGATATCAATGCATTTGCGCCGGATTCAACTGGCATTGCTGTTGTCTCCCCGTCTGAGGCCTTGAAGTGTATGCCGGTCCGCAGCCTGTCCGTGCAGCCACTGGCGTTGGTGGTTCTCACCAATCAGCCTTTTGGGGGTATGCCTGTTGTTCATGTGCCGGCCACTGATCACAAGCTCAATCCAATCATTGTCCCGGTTGTGATTCTCAATTTTGGGGAGCCGCAGGTCGAATTTCAGCACAAATTGCCTCAAACCAAGCTCGTCGAGACGCCTGTTGTGGTCCTCGAACTCATGATTCGAAAGGACCTTGTGAATGATTGGAATGAGGTTCAATCTCCGCTGGCCTACCTTGGCTTGCACATTCCCGAGATGAGGAAAGACGCAGTGATTGAGGCTTGGAGCATTGCACCATATGACAAGCATCGTTGGAAATCCAAGCACGACTATGCTGATTACATCCATGGTTTCTGCAAGGTCAGGCTTGCAGTCGCTGATGACATCCTCAAACGCTCCGGTGTTGCAGGGATCTTCTTGGCCCCCAAAACGCCTGACAAGAAGCGTGATCTGGCCTACAGTCTGATCCAAATTCCAGGTAAGTCGCTGGATGAAGTTGTGAGCCTATCCAAGGACGTTGCCAAGACCCTTGGTGTTGTCGAATGTGCCGCCAACTATGCCATCCGTACAAGGAGGGAGCATATCCATGAAGTTCGTGCCAAGATTCTGCCACAAAGTGTTGCCATTCAGGAAGGCCTGGTGCAATCAGATGCTGATTGGTTCCTGCTCAAAGGGCTCAGGAATCAGACGACACATGAGAATTTGACCGCTGTCCTCCAAACCATGGGATGGAAGGAGGTCCATGCCGTCCGGCCTACAAGAGGTGGTGCCTGGTTGCTCAATGCCAAGTCCGAGCCGCCGTTCATGTATTTCCAGATCAATGATACCTATGTTTCTGTGGTCAAGCTGGACAAGAAGAACACAGGGCCCAAGACCCACATTGACAAAGATGTGCATTACCAAGTTGTGCATGCCACACCTTCGCATACTCCAACCAGTACAACATCTACCAGGATTGATGAGCTGCAAGAAAGACTGACGAACATTATCAATGATAAGATTGCAGACAAAATGCGTGAGACTCAATCGCAGATGGCTGACATCAAGTCTGCAGTGACGGCCTTAGATCATGGGAGCCAGCAGCAGCAGGCTGCCGTGATGGAAATCAAGAAGGTCCAAGATCAGTGTTCTGCACGGGTGGATGTGATGCAGCAGTCCATGCAGCAAGCCATTATTGACGGGAACACGACAATCTTACAGAAGATGGACGCCCTTTTCCAGCAATTTGGGAAGTCTGTAGAAACCCGTCTTACGGCCATTGAAAATAAGGTTGACGAGACCGACCCATGCAAACGGGCCAAGACGTCCACGTCTTGACTAGGCCCTTTGCCTCGCATGCTTACATGGTTTGTTGCGTTCGCATTCGCACAGTCCATTCATGGTGTACAAGCATGCC